CAGATGAACAATTTATTTCAAAGGCTCTGCTCTGTTCGATCCTTTCTGTTGTCTAGAAAGAATCATTACTTATTTGCGACGGGTAGTTTTCATTTTCGCACCGGACAAGCCAAGTTGAGCCAAGCCAACTTTTACTCGATACATTTTCTAGAAGTTCGACACTTCCCTGGAAAAACTGACAACAAACCGCTTCCTGGAGTTTTTCTTGAAGTTTCTCTCCCGCTACAATAGACTTTCAAAACAGTCCTTTGTCCGATTTTTATATGGCGCGGGACCTCTCGCTACTTTGTCGCTCGCCTGACCGCTTCACGGCCAAAAAAGCTTGTCCCGCTCGCTAAGAAACCCGTTAAAATCGATTCCGCAGTGGTTTCAATGGTTTTTCTGGAGCTTTGTCATCTTTTAGCGATTTTTCTTGATTGCGAGTAGTAGCCCTCGTCGCTCTCTGCTAATTTCGAAGCCCACTCTTTGCAAAACGATTTTGTCGTCTTCTTTCGGCTTGGAGTGGTGTACGAAAACGGACAAGCTTTTTTTTCTTCTTTGGAGGCATTCACTTCCAAAATCCAAGGAAAAACAGTGAGTACATACTTGTATATTAGCTTGGTTCAAAAGCGACATGCGTATCAAGTATGACAGGACTTGTCAACGATCAATTAAAAGTAATTAGCATAGAAAAAACTTTTGCGCTCCATAAGTCTGCACAGAAAAAACATTTTTTCCTGGGATTTTTTTTTAAAAGAAAGCTCTTGATTAGCTCTATTTAATCATTTAAAAATTGCAAATTTCGAAAACTTATGAATTTTTACCCTGGATGATACCTTAATATAATTAACAATTAATGAATGAGGCTGAGTATCTTATGAAGAATTATGGAGATCGAGGAGGATGTTATATTTATCCGTCGAGGCCGTAGGCCGAGGCGGATAACACCCTCCGAGATCTTCATAATTCTTCATATGATACGAAAGCCGAATTCAATAATTGTTTTATTATTCATTCAAAATAATTCCTAGTTTAAAAACGTAGCTAAAACTAGCTTACCTGTAGCGATGTTAAGTTTATCTTCAATAGTTTACGTTTAGGTTTCTCCAGCTCCGCAAATATTCTCCAAATAGCAGATGTCGCCCTCCGAGTTGTCTTCTTGCTGTTTTTGCTATGTTTTTAGCCATTATTTCGCCTAGTTCCAGCCGTAGTTCTCACTCTTGAAACGAGTGAAGTGTCCGCCATTTTAATTTTTACAACGAAAACAACTCAATCTCGTCCACAGGTCTTCTCGGTTAACGGTGCATTAACCTGCAGAAGTCTGCATTTTTGACGTCATTTCCTCGTTAAACACAAAATTCTTCCAAATTTGGTCATCAGTAACTGGTTATGGTGTATTATGGGTGTGCTTTCAGCCAATCAGAATTGGGGAAATATTTTGAATGAATAATAACGTCACCTAACTTATCAGTTAACTACTTATTTTTTGGCCAGTTATCAGTCACTACTGTTTTTGAGGCCAATCATCAGTTAACTACTAGCCCTAGTGGTACCCTCTTGGTTTCACGCTTTTGTTCGCCAGAACCAACTTGGCTGTCCTGACGTCAGCTGAAAATATGGAATAGATACAGTAGAAACTCTACTCGGGGGACGGCACCCTCGGGACAAGGCCAAGTGCTCCCTGAACAGAGGTGTCTCCTGAATGGAGGTTGCGCTGGGCGTTTGTATATTTTATGTATATTAAATTTTACCTTGGAATCTGCTGCGGCCGTTATTTCACCCAGCTAGATAATGTACACAAAATCAATGATTAACCTATCACTGCGATGTTGTGTGCTGAAGTCCCACAAATGCAGTACATCGATTTTTTAGTGAATAAGTTCATGTTTTGAAAGTAGTCGCCATTGTGACCACTGAAAACTAAGACTTAACAAGGATTTTTGTGGTTAGTTAGGCCCGGTTCAGACGCCGAACTTTTCATGAACCGAACCTAATTAGAATTAAGGCCGACCCAAATTATTTAGACTGGCTAAAGTGATTCAGACGCCGATCTTAGTTCCAGCCGAACTAAATTCAGAAGGCGAAAAATGCACATTTCGGTCAAACTGCTTACAAAATACGTTATAAGAATTTCTGCATTTGGCTCGGTACATGAAAGGTTCGGTGTCTGAATCAAAGGCGTTCCAAAGTCGAAATTCCCGGCCGGGCTAGGCGAAAAGAACGGCTGAGCCGTTCCAAATTGAAACAGGCATTCCTAATTGATTCAGACGCCGAACTTTTCATGTACTTAATTCAATGTGTTAGGTTCGGCTCATGAAAAGTACGGCGTCTGAACCGGGCCTTACCTTTTGACTGGTAAGGTGTACCCTGAATAGACGTTGAATCCAGAATCGAAAAAGAGACCCTTTGCCATGAATAGAAGTGTCCCTTCACCAGAGGAAACAAATACAAAGATTATGTCAACATTTTTCGGGGACCAAATGTTGTGTCCCCCAAATGGAGGTGTCACTTGAATAGAGGTGTCCCAAAGGATAGGTTCCACTGTATATACATCATAAAATTCTGTTAATTATGCAAATGGTTTATTTGAGGTTTACACGAAACATTGCTCACCTTTTCTATTTTACTTTTAGATATTTCGCAATAAACAAAGAAATGAAACAAGGCTATCGCAACCTGCCACAAGTGAATAGTGACGAAGAAACAGTCTTGGAACTGCAGTCCTCGGACGCCGAAAGTTCTTCAGATGATGAAAGCGTTTCAAGTGAGAACTATGTAGAGACTGAAAGCGCTGCATCTCCGCCTGAAGGGACATCCTCGACATGGAAGGCAACAATGAACTTGATAAACTTCATCGAAGGGGTTGAATTGCTTGCTTTGCCGTATTCTATCAAAAAGGGTGGAATCACGGCTGTGATATCACTGTTTTTACTGCCAATTATCACCTGGTACGCAGGTAAAGTGTTAGCCGAGAGTTTGTACGACAGCGACGAGAAAAAAGGAAAGATTCGAGCAAGATCAACTTGGAAGGAGATAGGAGACGCGATATATCCTAAATATGCAGGTAAAATTGTCGCATGGACTCAAGACATTGGTTTTGTTTTTATAGCAGTCAGTTATCTAATTCTCTGTGGATCTCTCACCTCCCACGCCCTACCAACAGTACCCCTCTCGCAAACTTCCTGGACCTGCTTCGCTGCACTGCTTATTCTACCAACAATGTTTTTGAAATCGTACTCCCAGATTGCATGGCTAAGTACTATTAGTATAGTCGCCATTGGTCTAACTACAGCACTAACAGTATGGTATGGCGTTAAAAATATAGGGAACTGGGATCCCGGTACACTTTTGTTTTGGGACTTCGAAGGAGTCTTCATTTCGTTGGGGATCGCTTTGGCTAGTTACGGCGTGGCCAAGATCATTCCTTCGGTAGAAAAAAGTATGAAGAATAAATCGGACTTTGGAAAAGCGTTGGGTTCGGCATTTGCTGTATCAGTTGTAATTAAAGTGATTATTGCAGTCTTTGGATTTTTGACTTTTGGATCCAAGACAGATGAAGCCATTGTTAACAATTTTCCCGCTGGACCACTAAACATAACCGCTTCTATAAGTCTCGTTATCAGCAGCCTACTCTCAATCATACTTTGTTTGAGACCTGTATGTGAATCTCTCGACGAATCGACTTTTTTTCCAGAAATAACCTCTGATATTTCCAATACCATACGTAATATTATAACTCGGGTTTCGTTGGTAGTCATCACACTGGCAATAGCTATTTTTCTACCACACTTCGCGCTCATAGGAGCTCTTATGGGATCTTTTCAGATGGTATTTACCGGGTTTTGGATTCCTTTATTGGTGCATTTAAAGGTAAAGTACCACGAACTCAGCAGATTGCAGATTTATGCTGATGTTATAGTCCTGGTATTGTCAAGCGCGTTTTCTGTTTTGGGCACTTACTTCTCTTTAAAGGGTCTCGTTCAGGCAGGCTTGAACAGGTTTTAGAAAAGCGCTTTCCTGTCTTTTCACTCTTTCAACTATTGTCTGCCGCCAGGGGCAACCCACGCGCGGCAAATCTATGTAGAAGTTATTGCGTAGTTTACTTGGCTATCCATTGACTGTCTACAACAGGCGAAACAATCCTCTGTGCATTTGCCTAAGTCGAAAGTTGTTACTGATAATGTGGAGATTTTCGAGCACAAGAACTTCATAATTTGCTCTTAATAACATGTTAAGTGATAACAAAATTTATAATTATCAATGAAGGCTACTCGAGGATCAGGGAAAGATCCTTTAAAATGGAAGTATCTCAGTGACCTATAATTTACAATAGAGCAGCGAACCTGATTATTATGCGAGCTTCAGCGTAGAGGTGTAAACGAACGAGTCACACCGAAAAGCTTGTTACCAAAGTGTACCTTAACACTCGCCTTATAAAGATCAGAATCATTCTGATTGTGAACCTTTTTTTCAATAACGGACAATTTCGTAATTTTTACAAAGTTAAAACGAGGTAATTTTCTCAAACGAGCTTTGTGTGTGGAGTGAACAGCTCTTCCATTTCCTAACTTATTGAAAACTACAGTAACTAAACCAGTCTCCTCCCCAGGCGTTTTCGCGCTATTCGAGTGACCGGGGAGGGGGTGGGGTTTGGGCCTTGGAACCGGGCGCGATAGCGAGGCCGCCCCGGCGAATTCTCCCGACAACCTTGACAGGTGACGTCAAATTTGCAATCGCCGAGGACGACTGGGAACGAGGCTGTAACTAAGCGTCTCCAACAGCGTTCTTTAAGGCCAATTTTCTTCTTCGAGAGTAAGATTCCCGTCCGTGACAACGAGGAGTTTGAAGGTGGGTTTGATTGTTCCCCGGTTCGTTCTTAAGAAGAGACGACGGTGAGATAGTTCACTGGTTACCAATTTCTCTTAAGTATAGTGTTGCGCGTGGGGGAGAAATCGGCTGGCACTGGCCTTAAGAAAGGCACATAATTCCCACTGCAAAGTCAGATAAACTGACAAACGATATTAGTGATCTTCTTGTCCTTCTTCCCATTCCTCTTCATTTTCTCCCGCATCATCCCCCTGTTCACCCTCGGGCTGTCCGCGATAACTTAGAGTATTAAGCAGTTCTCTCATAGCAACCATCAGATTTTCCACGCCCCGCGCGAGCTCTGTATCTCGTAAAGGCCTGGGCCCTCCCTCTGCTCCTTCCACGGGCTGTTCAAGCCTCATTTCTAAACGTTCGCGTTGTCCGTCAGCAGTCTGGGAGTAAAAAGAAGGGAGAAGCGAGCGGAAAAACATAGACAAAGCACCGCCATGTTCTTCTTCACGAGGTAGGTTTCTGAAAGAACAGTTAAAAAAAAAATCGTTTAATCTCGCGCTTTTTAAGATGGGAAAAGGCGGATTTAGAAAAGACGACGACGGCGCGCACAGATCTAAAAACCCACTTGACCACTTGACCAGTGGCAGAGGGGCAAACAGAGCACCGAAAATCGCTTTCAGCAAGTTCGGCATAAGCCAATACATTTTCATTCCCAGGGTCCTCTCCTAATCGGCTCACGGAGCGCGAGGTAAGGCTGAATAAGGGAGAACCATGGGAACGAAGTTGTAGCCAATAACCCGTAACAAGCAATTCGTGCTAAGGCGTTTAAGTCCTTAATAAAAGTTGCGTTGACTTTGCTAAATCCGCCTAACACTCATTCAAGGGCGTAATAAAAATAAACAAATTTTCCTCTTACCTTCGTGGTCGCATATACCCTGCAAACGAATCGCGAGGTGGCAAAGGGTCATAAGACAAAAGAGGAACATTCGCCAAGTCCTGAAATACAGATAAAATAAAACTTTCGCTTCAGTCGGAAAGGGGTGTTCGATTGGTATTTGAAAGCAGGGCCGAGTTACAATGATGATAACCCCAGACCATAGTTAGTAGAGGACTACTGGTTATGAAAGCCGGCAAACATCAAAGACGAAATGTTGGACGCTCCCTGACCGTGCACGATACTTTTTTTGTTCAGAGATTGTGACTTACTAAAATGATATTGAAAGTTGTACACGGTCAGGTCCAAAAAAGCTTACAATACATATAACAAAGGAGTCTAACGGGCTTCATAATCATTCCACTGTATCAACTATGCCCAGACACTGGGCTAGTTACCACGACAATTAAACAACCTAGTTCCCAGGCTCCCTTCTTGAAGGAGGAGGAGAAAGGAACCTGGGAACGAAGTTGGACAACACATTTGCTCTGTTTGCAGTTATTCCAGGATAAGAGCTAACTTGTCCTCCAATAGTAAGCAAGATCTATGGCACGACCTGGTTTTGGATCAACGGAAAGCAGAAAAGCCCAATGGCGAAGTAACCGGAGCCATTTGCCACTTTGGAAACGAGGGGGAATCTGGGACGAGTTAAGTTTCACAAAGACTTCTGGGACTGTCACTAGGGACAGGGAAAAAAATTGACCAATAGCTGACCGGCGACCTGCGCATGCTCAGTAACGATCCCAGAAACAATTACGGGACGTATTTCATGTCCAGTTCCCATCTCGTTTTTGAGCCACCAAACTGTACGTATGAACGAGTTAACTTTCGCAAAGACCTCTGGGACTGTCCCTAGGGACGGGGAAAAAAATTGGCCAATGGCTGACCGGCGACTGGCGCATGCTCAGTAACGGTCCCAGAAACAAATTACGGGACGCATTTCATGTCCAGTTCCCATCTCGTTTTTGAGCCACCAAACTGTACGTATGAACGAGTTAACTTTCGCAAAGACCTCTGGGACTGTCACTAGGGACAGGGAAAAAATTGGCCAATGGCTGACCGGCGACCGGCGCATGCCCAGTAACGATCCCATTTCGATCGCATTTCGGCTCCAGTTCCCATCTCGTTTCGGAAGTGGCCAATTAGAAACAAAGCCTTTCTTTTAAGACTTAAGTTCAGAGAAGGTTTAAAAATCTAAAGAGGCGAAATCCTCAACAGTCAAAATTCATACAACCTGGGGTCAATTTAATAAAACTTTCACAAGTGTAATTTACAATTATAGCTTTTGTTTTCAGTCCCTACAACAATAGCTACACTTGTAAATTACACTTGTAAAAGTTGAATTAAATCGACCCTTAGCCTCAGTAATTTTAGACAACTGACAATCCAAAGTGTGACACTTGTTTGTAAGAAAACTGGCCACCAAACTGTGCGTATGAACGAACAGCAGCAAGGCCTGAAGGCACTCAAAATCAAAAGAAAGCAACGTGACATAACTTACCATGGGAAGAGAAGCTGTGGCGTCCTTAATATCTACAAAAAACGAAAAAGGCATTTAGCAGTCTGTCGAAAATGACGTTGACCTGTTGTTGTCGGAAATGACTGAGTTTTCGACAACCTGAACGAAATTCATCTTCAGAGTGTTGAAATTGTTAATTGTTTAAATATAGAGAGACGGCGACTAGACTGCAAAACAGTCGTTTTTTTTTTCTCAAAGTCAGTAAACAAATCGGTAAAGCGTGGCGTAAGAGTCTTAGTTACCCTCCCCAGTCTCGCTCTCTGTTTTCAGGCTCGTTCTAGACCTTTTGTTTGACTGCTCGCGCGTACTTGAATACGCATACATACGCAAAAATACGGACTGTTTTGCAGTCTAGACGGGGACAGAATCCTACTCCAGCTAAGGAGTTTAACTCGCTGACAGAAGGTTATCAACTATACAACTGAACACACAGCAACTTGACGAGGAAACCGGTCGTTTCGATGCAAGTCGTTTCAGTGCGAACTCAAGCAGTACAACTACAACCAAGCCAAGGACGTGAAACTATTTACACGTCGACTGGATCAACTTGTATCGAAACGACCTGTAACCCTTGACAGTGTTCAAGGCATTTTATTTCGTTACGGTTATATGGGGTTGAAAAGTGAACAGATCTCGGGTATTACAGGGTTTCCCTTAACAAGCATATCATGTGGCACAAAATCAGATGTCCGATATCAGTCGACATCCTGCTTCCGATTTGATATCCGTCATCGAATATGTCACGTGGTGCGCAACAGAAATTTGTTAGTCTTTGAAAAAAAAATAGTTCGAGTTTATCTATGCAAAATCAATGGAAACCATTTGATTACTGAGACAAATAATCGCTTTTTAATTCCAACAAGCACACTCACCTGACATCAAAATGTGCCGGTAAACATTTCGTGGTGTTCCCCTGTAACGTACTTGTCGCCTAGAAACAGAGATGAATAGAATCAACTACAAAATAGAGTAGGTTGAACGAACCTAGTTTAGTGACCTTTGCTCCCCACATATACAGTATCTGGAGACTAGTAACCATGGCCCCGGTTGTTCAAACGTTGGATGGCGCAATCCAGCGGATAGTAATGGGGAAACTAATTACACTAACCACTGGACAGAGATTTATCTGGCCCTGGTTGTTCAAACGTTGGATAGCGCTATCCACCGGATAAATCACTATCCAGCGGATAAGTAATAGAGAAACTAATTGCGTTATCCTCTGGATAGAGATTTATCTGGCCCTGCTTGTTCAAACGTTGGATAGCGCTATCAACAGGATAAATCAGTATCCAGCGGATAGTATTGGGGAAACTAATTGCACTAACCACTGGACAGAGATTTATCTGGCCCTGCTTGTTCAAACGTTGGATAGCGCTATCAACAGGATAAATCACTATCCAGCGGATAAGTACTGGGGAAACTAATTGCACTAACCACTGGACAGAGATTTATCTGGCCCCGGTTGTTCAAACGTTGGATAGCGCTATCCACCGGATAAAAATCGGTTCAGTGGATAACGCAATTAGTTCCCCAATACTTATCCACTGGATAGTGATTCATCCGGTAGATAGCGCTATCCAACGTTTGAACAACCGGGTCCTGGTAGATAGCGCTATCCAGCCTTTGTACAACCGAGGCCAGAAGGTCAAAGGTTCGACTCCTATTGGAAGTATCTGGATTTTTTCTTCCGAGCCGCCTGAGTCACTGACTGAATCGAACATCTTTCTTATGTATTCACTAGGCTTAAAATTCACCACCACATTTCCATCAGTTTTATCCCGTTTTAACGTTTTTACTGTTCGCCTAATTTGCAGAATGTAGAGACAAAAAGTAGTTTGAAGGCAGTTTTAGCGACAACAAATGTTGATACGTATGTCCACTAAATGTATACGAAATTTCTTATCTACAGTTTGAATATGATTTTATCACTCCTTGATGAGTTTCCGCGTAAATAATACCCTATTTTACACAAAAACAACCTGATTTTATTTCCTGACAGACTTGAAGGTTTGAAAACTATACCCTTTACGGGGATGATGTGAGCTATAGACGAAGTCAATACAGTAAGTAATGGTTAAGTAATTGCTATAGAGCAAGTTCAGTGTTAAGTTCTTTGTAGCGTAACTTGACAGCCGCCATTTGGCGACGCCATTACTGGTATCGCCGCGAAATGACCTCTGAGAAACAAGCGCAGAAATTCTATACTGGTCACGTGTCATTGCCCAGATATGAGTCGTACTTCTGATAGCCTGCGAACAGCAGACGCATTTCCGGTCGCCGCTTCTCTACGCAGACGCTATTTTTCGGAGGGACAGAAGCGACGACCGGAAATGCGTCTGCTGTTCGCAGGCTATACTTCTGATTGGTTAAAGCAAATTTCCCTCGTGGTGCGACCAATCAGAGACACTACCCAGACCTGGTTAGTGTCGCGTCATCAGTCTGGAATTTCTGCGCTCGTTCCTTGGACGTCATTTCGCGGGGAAACCAGTGATGGTGTCGCCAAATGCCGGCTGTTTTCTCAGCCTTTGTAAACAACGCACATGCTTCTTACAACAACACATACCCTTATAGCTTATATGAATAGTGTTATCCTCTGCAGGTTGATGGTTCAAGTTAGTGTTAAAGGTTTACACAAGTACACGAAACTAAAAAGCTGTACTTACTTTTGCTTACATTCTTGTACCAAAGGATCCTGGGCCTCGACTCTTTCTAAAACTATTCTGACATTCACCGCAAGCCAATCAATAACCTAAAATGAAACAGGACAAAATTATTTGTTAGTAGGTGCTTCATTGACCAGTGGTGATCGGGGCTGAAGTCGTGTGAAAAATACCAAAACTAGATTATCAGTTTCCACTGAACTGTTAGTGGGAAAGTTTTACTCAAAACTAAATTAAAGTACAGTCACAATCAAGACGTCCAAATACCAATACAAAGTAAACCCAAGCTTCGTAGAGGTTTAGATTTACACTCTGCGTTTTACTGTGATAATACATAAAAGGCCAGTTGTTACCCGTTCAAGGTAATATACTTCTGAAAAAACCTGATAGCGAAAATTTATATTTTACAAAATACGTTTGGCGTTTGCGAATTTTACAAACTAACAAGTCCTAGGAAAATTATACAGCAGGTTAAAATTGAAAAAGTGACTTATTTTTTAACAGAGGCGTTAAAGCAGTTATTGTCCCGGCCCGTCTCACCTCTGGTTCCTTCCAAACATGGTAAGTTCTACCAATGTACAAACCTTCCAGTTGCTTTAGAGCAAGAGGATCACTATAGGTCAACATGAAAAAAAACAAAAACAACAACAACAACATTAAAAACTAGTGAAGGTACCGTGAACAGGCCAGGAACACGTGACGAACCCCTAAGAACGTCTGCGTGGGAGGCTACAAAATCGTGCACCTTGTTTTGCAAAATTTCTGCAAAACGAGTTGAATAGCGATGTTGCGCGTTTTATCTCCCACGAATCAGAGCTGTCTTGCAACAAATCAGGTTGTTGCAGGTTGCAGAAAGTAGAGGGTAGTTCTACTTAGTGCAACAAAATCTGCACATGTTTCGCGTTTTACCGGCCCTAGGGAAACTTGTTTTGCAGCCATTGACGTAAATCCCGCGTATGGCGTGACTCCCGCGTAATTCTAGCAGTCACGCAACCTGCAGCAACCTGATTTGTTGCAAGAGAGGTTTGATTCGTGGGTGATGAAATGGGCAATACAGCTTTACCACTCGTTTTTCAGCAATGTTAAAAAAAATTGTGCGTTTTTTTCACCCGTTGGTGGAATATTAAAATTAGAAAATTTGGGCGATTTACTCTACCTGTTGAATGACACGGGAGAAAAGAATTGATGATTGATTAGCGAGGAATCCAACACAACATTGCATTTGTCCATTAGAGGAGATAAAACCTACAAAATTTAACGCAGTTGTAAGCACAAACCAACAAACATTCTATCATTCCATTATTTAGCTGGTGCAGACTTCAACATGATTGAGTCTGTCATCAACATTTGTTGTCATTAGTTATTACTTTTACCTGTTTATCAGGTTCCAGTCTTTTTCGAGATGTTTAAATTTTACTGTAATCTTTTTAACCGTCACTTCTGAAGAT